CAGCTCTTTGTTCTAGTTGTTGGTTATATTAAAAACTGGAAGAAAGAAAAAAAAGAAAAGTGCAGCTTTTTGAAATAAAGTTATACCTCTTCACAGCAACCGAATAAGAAATACAGACTGGAAAATGAAGCCCTGCACAGGAGCGATGGCTTTCCAAAATAATTCTCACCTGGAGTGAGCAAAAGGCACCTTTGTGCTCAAGATGCAGGACTTGCTTTGGTGCAAAACGCGAATCTCTTGCAGCTTCCAAGATGTAATCTGGGTACCGTGCGCTGTTTGTCTAACACCGGTACGAGCTGGCTGAGCTGCTTGATCTATTTAGCTGCTATGGAAATCAGTACATACCCAGCCAGAAAATGCATCCTTGCTTGCTGGCGTGTTTCCTACATTTACATCAGTCTTTAAAAAGCAGAGACATATTGTGAGCTGCTCATCAGATCCCTGATGACCCAGTTTAGCAGATGTAGTGATTGGCTAATTGTTAAAGATGCCATTTTTGGTGGGTGAGAGGAAGAGCATCAGCCAGGCTTCTAGAGATGAAGAGTTAGAATCAGCGGAGGTAAGAGCTCTTTAGTGGGAGTAACTAGATAAGGCTTGGATTAATTTGTCTGGAGAACAGGGAATTATGCTAAAGATTTTATAAATTCAGTTTATAAAATGAAGCTGTTGGTGTAATTTCCTTAGTAAAGATCAGTGTGGTGTAACAACTGTGCAGCATGGAGATATCTCAGGCTCCATGCTACATGGCTGTAGCCCCACAGCACTACGTTTTTTATCAATTTAAAAAAAAAAAAATGTCCTTGGGAAATGTCTGCAGCTACCAGGGAAGCACTTCAAGCGTGGGGAGGCTACAGCTAGCTTCTGCTCGTGGAGCTGTACTTGTAATTGGGACTTAGCACGCTTGCTCTAAGCAGGCAAAGCAAAGCCCAGGGCTGTGGTCTTGCGTTTTCCAAAAGTGCTCCTCAGTCTGCAGACATCAAAGAGAGCCGTGCATGTGAAGTAAAATCCTGGGTTTGGAGAACGTTGGGAAAAAAACTTGTGTAATCGCCGTGCCTCGTACACAGAAAGAGGAGAATTAGGTAAATGCTGCGAGAGTGGCATGTAAAACAGTGTCTCCAGGCAAAGTGATGGGTTGGTAGGAGATGGAAAATAATAAAATTCAATCTTATAGAATGAATAATAAAATCCAGCAGTAACTAGATGGGTGATAGCGTTAGTTGAGGGAGCTGTGTGCTGTGTGATCGGTAAATATGCAAACGCACTGCTTTTTTTTTTTTTTTAGGCTCCTGGCGTTAGAAATAGCAAGTAGGGGAACCAGAGCTAGTGGTGCAGAACATGAAACTGGGTATTACAGGGATAATATCAATCTGCGAGAATGGTAATCTTGACTTTAACATGTATTCAAGATTATGTGTGGTTCAGATAGGGTAGATGTGAAAGGAGATAGGCTGTATTGTATGCAGTAGACTGTAAAGAAGAAGAAAAAAAAAAAGAGCAATACCGATAACGCAGGATCTATTTCTGGTCAAATTTGCTGTGGGGAGGAATGGTAAAAGGGGTCCCAGAGGGAGCTCCGTGAGTCTGCTGTAATCTCTCATAGGATTGGATTCAGATACAAACCTGAGTCTCTGAAATGATATTATTCCCAGCACCATTACAGAGATAAATATTAGTATGAGAAACTTTAATTTCTCAGATACAGCTTGGAGACCAAATGCTGCTAATAATAATAGGGTCAAAAGACTTCTTCACTGTAGCATCGTCTGTTGTTGAGACGGGGCACGTATCGCAGCCGATACGACTAGTGCAGGAAAAGGAGCTGCTCAGAAGCCTCCATGCCCTCAGCTTTGTGCTGGGTGGTGATGGTGATACAACCTTTGATACAACAAGCAATGTATTTAGCGAAGGCGGTGAACTGGATTGAAAACTCGGACGCTGGGGTGTGCATGGTGGGTTTTTTCTTTCCTTTTTCTTTTTTTTTGGATTGACAGAGATGCTTCGGGTGCAGATTCCTGATGATGGAAGTGAAAGGGAAAAAGCTTGGAAGGAAAAACATCATCCTAAGCAGAGGCATAATCGCCTCATAAAGGATGCTAGGTGCAAAAAGAGAATCTCCAAGGGGTAGAATAAGGCATCAGCAGAGATTGCTGTGCCTTTAAGGTCAGGAAATGTGGGGATAAAAGGGGGGAACTGGCAAAAATCAGGCTGAGTTAAACCTTGCAAATGTTACTAAGAAAATGGGTGACAGCTTCTCAGAATCCTATTGCAGAGAGGGAAGGATGTGGGGCCACGGAGTGTTGGGGATAGGATAGTTGATGAGGATGCTCCTGTTGTGGTGGCAGAATTGAACAAATCCTTGTTGTAAGTGGATTTGATCATGGGCACGAAGGCAGGATGGTAACAGGCATGAAATTACTGTGGAAGCAACCAAGTTAGACGTTTCAAAGACCACAGTGTGTGCAGTGGGAAGCAGGGCTGGGAAGCAGGTTGCCTGGGGAATGATGTTTGCTGTTTCTGAAAGCAGAACTGCCTCATGAAACTGCACATCTAATGCAACTTCTGATAAATCTATCAGATCAGGAGTGGTATCATTTGCTCGGAGAACTGGAAGCGTCATAGCCCTCTCGATGATGGGGCATGACCTAAGTGCAGACCTGTTGGGCCAGCCTCCGTTGGGTGCAAAATCGGAGATGAAAACAGCAATTAAAGGCTCAGACGCAAATGAAAAAGGGGATAAAACGCAATGCAAATTCATCAGAATAGCATTGTGTCAGGTCAGCCTATCTGTCTTCAACAATTTTATCTTTTCCTTTTCTCGCCAACGTGCATTTTTCTTAACAGGTTGGCACATCTTGCTGTAGCACAGGTCCTACAGCATCTGATGTGGCACTGCAGAGGAAGGTGCAAATGAGGCTGGAGAAGATGCAGTTTAGTGCTGGAACTGGGAAACGGATTGGGAGCAACCATCTTGTTCTGGCTGCTATCTGTGTATTTAAATTCTATTTTTCATTTTATTTAGAAAAGAGGAACACAGGCTAGATCAGGTGGAAGAAGGCTTCTGGAGACTGGGGACTAGGAAGCTGGTTGTGAGAAAAGGCTGGAACAGCTGCTTGTTTAAGTGGGTAGAGGGGGCCTACATCAGGGAGGTTAATTGTTAGGGAACGAGAAGAAACCTTTAAGCCAGAGGACAGCACTGGCACAAGAACAAAGAACAAGCAGAAATTGCTCAGGAAGCTGGAGACGTGCAGAGCTCCCAGCTGCTGGCGGGCGCTGTTCTAGAGCAGGCCAGGGGAGCGTAGCTGCAGGACCCGGTCCTAAGGTAAAAGTTCTGAAAAGATCAGATTGCCTTGTATGACAGCAGTTGAAGAGACTTTCCGACACAAGGAATCAAATCGAGACTTCATATTGCTGTAATGTTAAAATTCCTTGTATGTGTGAGCATTTGCAGGAACACGGCTATGGTTTTATAGCAGTTACCCAACTTGTGTTACTGGAAATGCGTTTGCAGAGCAGGTTATATGGTAATGTAGTCTGGCATTTATCTCCAAATACAATTACGGAGCGCAGCCTTCATGTATTGGACTAATATTCCTTGCAAGTCAACGTGCAGTCGTAGACCAGCCACTACAGACAGCTCCTGTAGCAGTGAATTTTCACCGTAGACAACTCAGGCGTTGATTACTGGTCAATAAAGTACGGCGAGTCCTGCTGTGTCCATCCTGGCACACGCAACTTTACAAGTAGTTTGTGTAATTAAACTTTCCATGGGGCACAGGAGGTGTGATGCTTCCTTACTGAAGCGTCACCCGCGTATCCCAAGGCAAAGTTTAAGGCAAAGTACTTCAATCTGCATCAACAACTTGAAAACATCACGGCTCTATCCGGATCTATCCGCTATAGCTAAAGCAAGGGAGAGGTTGGGTGATCCTCCCCGCTCCCCCTCCTTGTTTTGTTTTGCCCGTTTGACAGTTATTTATAGATAGTACGATATCTGCACGAGGATTTGGAAATGCTCTATTCCCCGGAGGCCTGGTGGAAAACAACAAAAAATCAGATTGTGAAATAAATGTAAGGTTTTTAACTTAGTTAGGGATTTGGTTTTAAAACCTGGGGCGGTAATATGAAGTAGCAAAAAACAAGCAGTGGAAAAGACTTCAGGTTTTTATAAATTAATGCCTTTTCATAAACAGATGTTATTGGAGATACTAAATTGCCCGAGTGCATAATAACGAGCTATGCAGAAGAATGAAGGGCAGACACCTATTGAACGTGCAGTTGCAGAAAGGGGAAAAATAAATAAATAAGCATTGTTGTCTGTTCGGAGGAAACCAGATACAATCTGTGCCCTACGGCGGGGCTTGCGGGGAGGGCAAGGAGGGGAAGCCACACAATCTTCTGGAGGTGAGGAAGAGGCACGGCGCGAGCTCCAGAAAGCCGGGCTGAGTCTGGGGTGAAGTCAACTGGACGAAGGCAGAAGAAGATGGAAGTTTATTTTGGGAATCATCCTTTTTTTTTTTTTTTTTCTGTGGCAAAGAGGTTTAGAGGCATAGCTGCTTTCCCATTTATGGGCAATTAGCTTCTCTGTTGTCTGCGCAAATCTTCACGCAGAAACAATGGCTATAGAAACGTTTTTTGCTGCTCGCGTTTAAGGAGCAGAAAATGGCACGCTTTATACTCCCCAAATTGGCCGGGCTCCTTTTGTAAGGCAGGAGTGGCCCTAGGAAAGATGATGAGAGTGGGTGGCAGCTGCTCACCCGGCTCCTCGCTGTCCTTTTCCGAGGCAGCTCGGCCAGAAGGGGCGGTCAGAGCAGGGGAGAAGCCAAGAGCTGACCTGCCCTGTGGATAGGTCAGAGGCTGCAGGTTCCCCTTCCCTGAATCGTGGATTACCAAGGCAAGGGTGCTAGGGACATGATCCATGCATTTAACCTTTGGGGGAGAATGAAAAAGTTAACTTGATTCTTTTTGAAGGGACCTAATCTGCGTGCCAAATGCAAAGCTGATAGATGTCAGTTCTTTTTTATTATATTATTATTGTGGTGTCTGAAGGAAAATGGAGGTGCCGCAGGAAAACATGAGGGGGCAAAGAAGAGGAAAAGGGAAAACGGCTTTCTTGTGGCGATGCTGCTCCATCATACAGGAATGGCTCCAGCTGCCCACCCCAGAGCAGGTTAGCAGCGCCCAGCCACGCTGTGTGGAAACTAAAGATCAGAAATGTTCAAAGAAGAGGACACAAAGCGATGATCCCCCTCCCAAGACGCGTTTGAAGCAGTCGGGGGGATTTGGGTAGCCTGCCTTGGTTTGGATCACCGTAGCAATCTCACTTTTGAAGCCCCAGAGCGAGGCTGTGGCAGGCCTGTCCCTCTGGAGGCCGGCATTTCGTGTGCCCGGGGGTCTGCGAGCCCACGCGCCTTGCCGCGGGCGGTCGCCCCCCGGCCGTGTTTTGTCTTCTAAGAATCACCCGTGGGCTCTCGGCTTTCGGGAACACGTCTGGCATGTGGGGCCGGGCCGGGTGAACCCTCCGCCCCGTGTCAGAGCAGCTCGGCATCTGTCCCCGTCGGTTATCCCTCCCTGGGAACGCGCCTGGGACAGAGGAGAAAGTGCCGGGGAGGGGGGCGCTTCCCAAAAGGGGGAGAACAACTGGCTCTGCCCCCCTCACCCTACAGCCCCCCGGCCTTGGGGGCAGCGTTAATCCCCCCCCGGGTGCTGTGGGACAGCTGAGAGCGGGCGACCTGGGGGTCCCCAGGCCCGGCTCCCCCCCGGCAGCAGGGAGGGCGAGGCGTCAGCCGATACGGCCGCATACCCCGTCCCGAAAGAGATCCCTTCGGCTCGAGGCATCGACGTGGCTGCCTGCCTCACCCCCCCACCCCCCTCCCCTCTCCACAGCACCAAAGGGTTTTTTGCGACGCTAATCCCAGCACCTGTCCCTGCCTAGGACGGCAAGAAGGGTACGGGGGTGGGGGAGGAGCGGTCCCATATGTTTTTCGCTGTCCTGGATTGGGAGCGTTCCCTCTGACGCACCTAGAGCCCGGAACATATGCTCCCTTCAGATCCGAAATGCTGTTTGCTTCCTCCCGTCCCCGGCGGCTGCGGCGAGGATCCTGCCGGCCCCGCTCGGCGCTCGAGGCTCCTAGGGCCGCTCTCCGGACGGGATTTCTAATTTTAGGAGCCTCCGCTGCGTATGGTCGAGCGCTGCCTCGCCGGATCCCAGAAGAGAGGGGCTGAGCCGAGCCGAGCCAGGCAGCTCCTTTTTATTTTCAGCTGAGCCAGTGTCAACCTGAGTGGCCCCAGAGGCCTGAGCCAAGCACTGCGCAGGGCTGCCAGAGTCCTTCCCACCAGGCTGAAAGACGGAGGCTCGGGTCTGAAGCCTCCGCTCCTGCGTCCTCTTGGCCTCTACCTGGAGGATCTTTGGCTATGTATGGTGTGTATTGTATGGATTATCAATACCCAGTCGTCCAGGTAAGCGAGAGGAGAGCGGCGACTCGACAGAAGCGTGCTGTTTGCTTCGGGCGGGCTGGAGCCCTGGGTGCTGGTCCCGTAGGACACCGCTGCCACCGCGCTCGGCGTGTGCCAGGCCTGGGCTCCCCAGAGGCTCCGCCGAGGGCTTTGAGCCTCCCCGCATGCGAGTGGCCCTGTCTGACGCTTTAACTCCCCGGACTTGCCTTGTTTGAGACCCGTGTGCGTTTGCATTTCTGGCTTTTTATTTTTTAATTTATTTATTTATTATTTTTTTAGGGGGGTTGAGTTGACAGCAATGCCGCGCTCTGCAAACTGCTGTGTTGTCGAGTGCCTTGCTGCTTTGCCCGGGGCATGTGACTTGTGTGACTGCGGCTTGTCCCTCGGGGGTGGTGAGCCACCCCATCACCCATTTTCCTCCTCCCTCCTCTGAAACCAGCCACAACGCCCCTAAAAGTCTCCCCCGTCACTTTTTTGCTCTTGGAGATCCAGTAGGGCGACGGGCAAGGGTGGGTTTCGGAGCAGGGCTTTGCCTAAGGCAGGGCGCGTTGCAGCCCTGGCTGGGGAGGGGGCTATATTTGGAGCACACGTGAGCTTTCCTGGCCTGTCGTGTGGCCTTGGAGAAGCCAGGGGCTCTGGGTCAGGCTCAAATACTTTCGGAGCCAAGTGAAAGATGATGTTCTCTGCGCAATCCTTGACTATTCAGTGTCAGCATTCCTTGTCCTCAGAGGCACCAAATTCATCCAGAAAACGTGAAAGGCAGACTTAACAGTTGAGGATTATCTACCCTGAGATACTTCAGATAGCCACTAAAGAGTATTTTGTTAGGTTACCTTGTACCGGGTTTTTGATTACGTACATGAATAGACTCCACCACCAGAAGTGTGTCTTTTGGTTGTTAAGATTTGTTCCTGATAAATTGGTTCTTTGCACTTGAACCTTTTTTTTTTTTTTTTTTTTTTTTTTTTTCCCTCCCTCTGGCCTTGATCCAGCTGGCAGGTTTGCTCCATCTCAACTTGAGCCAGCACAGAAATGCAGGTAATGGGATGTTAAAATCGAAGGCTGGCCTTTCTTTCTGCCCTAGCAGCACAGGGGAATTAGAGGCATGGCGAAAGAAAAAGTCCTGAAACTTGCTTAAAGCCGAGTGTTTGTGGCTTTCTCTTCTCTTCCCATTTCTACCAGCCTTACGAGCATTGAACTAACCCAAGCATATGGAAGTGGAAGTGTAGACCACTTAATCCAACTGCGGGTTAGTTCTTCATTTGTGCTCTCACCAACGTGATTTCAGCGGCCTTGCCCCATCACCTGCTGCTTGAGAAGCCTTCTCCAGCTTGTTTTCCAGTAGGATATGAATGATAGGAACTAACAAACACCATCAAGCGTGTCTGGGTGAGCACAGAAGAGAATGTAGCGGAGGTGCTGAAGTGCTCAGGTGTGAGCAACAAGCCTCACCTGGCTTGGTGAGGATGATGAGATCTGCCCTGGCTCTGCAGAGGCAGACGAGGTTAATTCTCCCTGACTTACTTCCTAATGCTGCTTCCACAGCACAGGAAGGAAGTTTCACTGCATTTGTGCCTGTGATGCACAAAAAATCATGGCAACTCCCGAGTCCTGGCATCTAGATCTGTTCTGAATGTGTCGCTTTTTGATCAAACGCAGTCAGTAGGAAGGGATGATCTCATGGCTCTGAGCTGTGTTCCTCAGGCTTCCCGTGCTCGGCTCTGCCTCTGTGTCCCTGTCGCGTTCAGCAGCCTGCTCTGCAGTTTGGGGCTTGGGCTCTCCTGGGTGAAGGGTGGCAAGCCATGATGCTAAATTGCGTGGTGGTTCCGTGACGGGCACACAGGTGACACTAGGTGGAGGCCCACCAAATTTATTTCACTTGACCGCCGGACAATTCCCCCAGCCCCCAGGGGGAAAGGTGAGTCGTGCAGATCAGCCAGTTAATTTTATCGGTCTTGTTCATCATCAGGTGTTGCTTTGTTGGCTCCGGTGGAGCCCAAGACGAGTTGTGCTATCAAGTCTGGTCTTGTTCTCCATGGTATTCTTGAAACTTTTGAATCTTCGTATCGGGTGTTCATGTCAGATGTGTTCAGGGCGACCAGAGCTCTTGCAGACCCGTGTTTCTTGTTGCCTGAGCGCATCCATTAGAAACTGGGGGGCTTCTTTGGCTAAGCAGGAGCAAAGGTGGGTGAATTCCAAGCAAAAGGGAGGAGATGCTTCCTCCGTACACGGTGAAAGAGGGTGACCAGCAGGAGATCATACCGATGGGAATTCCCACTCTTCTGGCATGTGAGCAAAGCAGCTGTAGCAGTGGGTTGGTGCAGATGGGTAGGTGCTTACACCTTCCTCTCTTCCCTTAGAGGGCTCCTTGGTGGCGGCCGGTATTCCTAGAGGTTCCTGAGGTGAAGGCCAGAGTGGGTTAGAAAATAACACTGGGTGAGCAGTGGTGGGATGAATGTGGCAGGCCATTTCTCTACCCTAAAGGTCTGTGCTGTGCCCTTTGATCAGGGACAAGAAATTGCCACCATATGCCGTAGAGACTGGGTGAATGCAACAGTTAATCTCCATTAACTTAAGCTGAATTACGCTGAGTGATTTGCAGAGGTCTGGTGAATGAGATGCACGTAGCTCCAGCCTGGTGCTTTGCCGTGGCAAAGGTATAAGGAGGTCACCGTGTTTTCTGCCGCTTTGAAACGGAGCTCACACTTGACCCAGAATCGTGCTCCAGAATCGCAGGTTTGTAATAGGGGAAAAAAAAAAATAAACCCAATTCTTTCCTTGCTTGTGCAATACTGCTGGCAGACCTGTGTAGTGTCATAAGGAGCGGGTTAGCGGAGAGGATGCATTAATGGGGGAAAATGTGGGCTCTGCTCTGGTGGGACATCATGGCTCGCTGGGGCTTTGGTCTTGGGCTTCTCACGTGGAAGGAGCAACGAGCTCTGGCTGAATTGGTGGAGATGGGAGGGTCAGATCTAAGTTTGCAGTGAAATTGGGGAGCACTGGGGGCCAGCGCAGGCTGCTTGGTGCGATACCTGTGGTGTTTTTTTGTGGCAATTATTGCTGAGGGTTTGGGGGCAACGCAAAGGAGAGCGCATGGGGATGTTGTGGTGTCACTTGGCTCCTCTGCCACAAAACCTGGCGGGTCTCTGGGTTACCAGGTGCCAAAAAGAGGTGTCAGAGGGGCCGCTCTCCTCCTCGTGTCAGAGCCCCCACAGCCTGAGGTGGGCTTCGTGGGCACGACGCCCGCTGCGCCCAGCAGCGCTGCCGGCCATTTTCCCAGCTCCAGCACCGCTCGGCCACCCCCCTATTTACATTTTGAGGCAAAAAAAACACCAAGAGGGGAAATCTCCCGGCCCTTTTCCCTCTCTATTATGAGGGAGCCGCGGCTCCAGGCGCTGTAGTGCTTCCGGGTGAGGGCTCGGACCGTGCCGCCCGCTCCCCTTTGTGGCAGCCGGAGCCCGGCCGGCAGCTCCCCACCGGGGAGGGGGGGGGGGGCACCGCTTTTTGGGGTGGGGGGAGGGTTTTTTTTTTTTTCTTTTTTTCCTTTTTTTTTTTGAGCCGAGCCGGGCGGGGCGGGCTAAGGGAAGGGGGAGGTGAGGGGGGGGGGGGGGGCGGTCCCGGCTCGCATTAATTACCGCGGCCGGGCGGGGCGGCGCTTCCCGCAGCCATCTGGCCGAGCCGGGGGGGGGCGGCGGGAGGAAGGGGGAAGAAAGGGAGGAACACGGGAGGAGGAGAAGAAAGGGAGGAAAAAAAAAATATATATTAAAAAAATAATAATAAAAAAAATAAAAAAATAATAATTAAGGGCTCGGGGGGCACCGCGCCGGCGAGGCAGCGCAGCGCAGGCACCCGCCTCCTCGGAGCCGCGGGTGGTTTTTTCTTTTTTTTTTTTTCCCCCCCATTTTTTTTTTTTTTTAATATAAATCGTCGCTATTTGATTATTTTATTTTTTATTATTTTATTATTTTTTTTTTTCCCCACCTCCCCGCGGCCGGGCTTTCCCCCATTTTGGTTTATGGAGAAAAAGAAAATGGTAACTCAGGTAAGGCTGCTTTGTCTGCGCGGGGGAAGCTCCGGAGCTTTGGGGCCGGGAAGGAGGGGGGGGGGGGGGGGAGAGACCGAGCCGAGCCGGGACCGGGACCACCCCACAGCCTCCCCCCGGCTCGGTACCGCTCACCTGGGCCGGGAGGAGCCCGGAGGGAAGGCTGGGGGCTCGCAGTGCCCTCTAGGGAGAGCAGGGCAGCGGGCGGCCCCTTCCCAAACCGGGCTGCCCGGCCCCGGCCCCGCACAAAGGTAAGCGGGGGGCTGGCAGAGCCGGGGGTGAGCCCCCCCCTTCCCCCGGGTCAGGGTTTGGGGAGGGTAGCGGTGGGTTTGTTGAGGTCTCTGCACGGTTTTTGGGGGTTCTTTGCCTCGGTGGGGTTTGGTATCTGCAAGGGAGGAGGAGGGAAAGCGGCATCGGCGAGCTGGGAGCCTTGGGAGCCAGGCATTATATAACGCCCCGCAGTGCCTTGCGGAGCGGCGAGCCTTTCGGGGGGCTATTCCCAAGGCTCTCGGAGGGAACTTTTCTTCAAATCTGGGTTGATCCAAGCTCTTCCCTCCCCCCCCCACCCCAACTCCAATCCTTCCCCTTCCGCGGAGCTTTGCATCGTTTCTCCAAGGGATGCCCGCACACCAGCCTTGGCTTCCCTCGCCTGCCCGCGCCGAGGTGCTGCATGTCCCGCTGCTGCCAGAAGCGACACCCGCTTTGACCCTTGCCGTCCCTCATCCCGCATCGACTTGTCAGCTCCTGAAAAATAAGCTCCCTGTCCACCGCGAGGTGTCTTCCCCTGCTCCCAAGCCCCACCTTCTGCTCCTGCTATTTAGTCCCTTCCATTACCCGTTCCTTTTCGCCCGGCCCAAGGCTTTCCGTTTGGAGACAGAAGAGCTCTGCGGAAACCTCCCGAGGCGCTCGGTACCTATATTTAGTGCCGTGAGTGATGCTCGAAAAGCCGGGGCTTTGCTTGCAGGCGGGGTCCATTTATCTGGCGCTGCCTCGCTGGGGATGCGCCCGGGTGGACGGAGGTGGATGCCCCCGAGCCGCGGCCGGGCGCGTGCACGTTTCGGAGTTCCTCCACGCAGCTTCGTGTGCGTGCTGGAAGCTCCCCGCCACCACCTCTCTGCGCATAATCCCTGCCTGTGCGCTGCAGAAGGGAGCCCGAGCCCTCAGCACACAGGGGGTGCGTAGCTGGTGCGTCCCCAAGACCCAGCACCCCAAAGCACGAGCTGCTTTGGGGCCGTGTAGAGCCGGGGAGGACGGGATGCCCAGCTGCTGGGGCGCTGGGTGAGACACAGGAGGGCACAAGCTCACGTAAAGGTTGGGGATACCCTCGTAGGAGCACGCGTTGTTAGCGTTGCTTGACCTTGAATTATAAGTGCCTTAAAAGCGCGTGCTGCCCAGGGTAGGTTTTTGGGGTTTGCGCTGCGTATTCGCGTGCTGATGTTGCAGCTTCACGCAGAGCAGTAGGGGAGGAGAGCTCAGCTTGCCCTCGGCTCAGGGTTTTGGGGTGAGCGGCTGATGGCCCCATAGTGGGAGATGAGGAGGATGGTGATGGTGAGCTCCACCGCAGCTCTGCTTCTCACTGGGGGCCTCCGGGGAGAGAGGCACGGCCGGCACCGTGCCCTCACTCCGCAGTGCTGCTGGGGGCAGTGCCCTGGCCTCGCTCAGCGCCTGCAGACCTGGTTCACCGGGGCTCTGTTTCGTGTATGGGAAGTAGACATTGCTGGTATCTTCAGCTGGTAATTGCTGCTGAAAGGGTTCAGCACCGCTGAACCGAACGGAGCGAGGTGCTGTCGGCAGGATCTCGCTCGGTTTGCTTCGAGCTCTGGATGTCGTTGTCTGCCTTGGCTGAGTTCTGTGGTATTTTAGGGAGTGAGCTCGCCCGTTGTCTTTGGGAACCTGGGAGGCTAGCTGCCCTATAGACCTGAGGGCTGGTGAACCAAAATAGATGGGGGGAAGACCAGAAATAGCGATGGGGAGAGACGGGAGGTGCTGGAAGGGGGAAACGTGCTTGAAAATAGGAAACCAAAATTGCTAATGAGAGCTAGAGCTCAGCTTCATTACCAGCAAGTACCCTGCTCTGATCCCCCTTAATCCTAAATCAGGGAAGACGAGCGTTCAACGGGGCCCGGTACATCATGTGCTAATTGCAGATAAAAGAGAAAAGTCTTGGGTGGATGGGAATTATACGGTAAAAGGCTTTCTCTCGGCGCGGGGAGCTTGCTGGCTTGCGTGGAGCACAAAGCCCTCCCTTTCTTGGACAGCCCAGTGCCTTGCTGGCGTTTTCCTCCCGAATCTGTTTCCCATCAGGGCTGGGAGAAGGGGGGAAGGTGTCGAGCATCTCGCAGAGTGGGAAGGGAGCCGCTGCCTCCTTAAGGAGTCCCGCCAGCCCATGTGGCAGCCGGCAGCAGCAGCAGCAGCGGCGCTGGAGCGTGCGTGCCCGTGTGTGGCTGTGCGTGTGCCTTTGTAATGAATCACCCCGCCATTGTCTGCTCCCCTCCCTGCTGCCGTGCCTGCCCGATGGAGCCTTTCACCTGGGCTGCTGCCTGCTCTCCGGCCTTCTTCCAAGACGGGAAGAGGAGGAGGAGGAGGAAGGGCTGCTGGCGGTAATGAAAGCCAGACCACGGAGAGCTGCTCATTTCAGGCACCCCGCTTTCCCCTTCTCCCTCTCCCTTCGCTCCTTTGGATGCGGGTGTAGGCAGGAGCATCTGAAGGTCCCCTTTTGTGCGGCCCTGGGCTCACCGGGCTCCATTTTGCGGCACCATCCTGCCTGCCAGCCTGCCCCCTCTCGGCCCCCCGGCACCCCCGGCGGCTGCAGCCAGCACCGTTTATCTTGGCACGTGTTTGCCTCGCTACGCTCTGCCCGGGGCTCGGGGAGGTGATGGCGTTTGTGGCTTGGAGACTAATTTATGTCCTTGTTAAAACGAACCAGCGAGCGGCCTCATTTTTTCCAGAGGTTTTCTTCCCTTCCCCTTCCCCCCTTCCATAACCCTTTCCCTGCCAGGGCCAGCGTGCGGCCGGGAGGCGACCGTGTGCAGCCCAAAGTTGCCGCTCGCTCGGGCAGTGCTTTAAAAAAATAAAACAAAAAGCAAATTACAAAAAAAAAACCAACATGCAGAGCTCCTTAAATGGAGATCTTATTTAAATCAGAGCAGCGGCTGACTCACTAAAGGCCTCCCTGTCTCCGTTTCTTTCCCCAGCCTCGTTCCCTTCCCTTATCTTCCTTCATACCCAGTGACAGTAATGGATTTTTGTCTGCCCCCCACGCTGGGACCCGGAGGGGGGGCTGTGTATTTGGGGATATGCGGGGACAGGAGAGGGGGAGCCCCGTCACGGCGGCTACCTTGTGCTAGCTGAAGCTGTACGACGCATCCCGCTGTAGCAGAGCGTCCTCCTTTGTCTGAACTGTCTGCAAGCGAGCCCGAGTGCCAGGACAGCCGCCTCCTCCCATCCCGTAGGTCTCCTTTAGGGTCTCTTCCACCTCCCCTGGGTGCTCCAGGATCTCTTCCACCTTCCCCCTACCATCCCCTCCCCAAAATTAAAGCTTTTTCTTTTTTTTTTTTTTTTTTTTTTGGCGCATTGAGGGATTCTCTCCGGAGCTACCACGATTCCCCGTCCCCTTCCCTTGCTTCGAGGATTGCAGCTCCCTTTTCCTTTTGGCCAGGCGTCCTCGCTGTTTGCTCTGTGGTTTGGTGTCACCCTGCAAACTTGCATGAGCTGTCTGAGGGGGATTGCTCTGTTCTCCATCCACGGCCTCGTGCTCTTTTTTTTTTTTTTTTTTTTTTTTTTCCCTTTCTTTGCCGCTCCGAAAGTGGTGCTCGCTGACGCGTTACTTGACTTTTCTGCCTCTGTGTGTATCCCCTAGTTCTTGCTTCCCTTCTGCTGTTTGTCGTAGGACCTCGTTTTAGGGCTGCGGGCACCATGTCAGCAGCAGAGGTTTGTGTGAGAGGAGTCCTGGCCAGGCCCTTTTCCAGGAGAATCTCCCCCGGAGATTGAAGGATGGATCTGCAGCTCGCTTGCCCTGATGTAAGGACATGTTTGTTTGATGTGGGCCTATGGATTGTGTCTGTAACTTGTTATGATACCCAGGGATTTAACTGCTGCCTGAGAAGGGCTTATTCTTAAGGGCTTAAAAATCAATGGGGCCTGTCAGAGCCCACTGAGTGTTTTTTTTATTTTTTTTCCTTAAATGTGCTTTTTTTTCCCCTCTTTACCACCTTTCCTGAGTGCTTTCGGACGCCTCGGGGTAGAAGCAAACTCTCAGGGCAGCCTCGGGATGGCAGGAGCTGCGTTTGCCGTTGCCTAGGCAGGATGGCGATGTGAAAGGGAACCCGATACAGCAGGGCCATTTCCTTAAGTCCCTGTCCTAGAAATAACCTCGCTGCTCCTCGGTGCCTTTCTCCTGCAGGTGACTAGGTAACGAATCCCAGGTACCCGGGAGGGGAGAAATGAGGATGCCAGGGTTCGCGCTGTCATCCTCAGCTGGAAAAAAAAAAAAAAAAAACACACATAAATGTAAAAATACCGTTCCGGAGCTATTTTAAGAGCTATTAATTTGTGAACTATCCAGATCAGTGCAAAGGGTTGTCGTGAGCTACCAGAAATATTATCAGCTGGAGGTTTTGAAGGATGGGGAGCCCTTAATACCGGCGGTGTCTTTCCCTGCAAGTTGCTCGGTTCTGATGGCTCCCTTGCATTTAATTAGTAATGACCGGCCCTTTACTATAAAATGAACGCCAGTGCAAAGGGGAGCGGGGGTGAGAGGGGATTTAATTCTTTATTTTAATAAATAAGGGTCTTTTTGGCCTTCTTGCTGGATTCAGGTAAAATGCTTGACCCGTTTGCCTCCTAGCTGCAAAATCCCAGGATTGCCTAAAGGGTATCCCTCCGAGGAGTCTCGAGGAAGTGGTTAATTTGCCTCAGTATGGGCTCAAATGGGATTTGAAAGGTTGTAGTCAGCTACTGTCCCTATCTGACGTGTTCCCTGGAATCTGAGCAGAGAAATGTTACTGTCCTACCAAATCCTGGTTTGCTCCGGCAGAGCCAGGAGTGATCCCGTGCTGTGCAGGATGGTTTTTGTGGGGCTGCTCGGGGTGGCTGTGCTGTGACCAGCAGAGGCTGGAGGTGGGTAGGCTCCTCTTGTAGGGTTCACCGAAGCCAGAACAATGAATGCTGAATGGAAAAGCTTTTTCAAAAATAACAATAATAAAAAAAAGTGTGCTTTGAATATGGAAAGAAACCAGGACAAATGCTGGGCCTGTTCAGCAGTGATTTATTTGCAATATTTATTTATATGGCTTTGCAATACCATCCATTGATACAATCCAGCAACGTTATTCATGAACTGAACCGAGAGTATCGAGACGCTCATGCCCTTCAGTTCTGGGGCACTTCTATATTTTAGCTCGGGAAGGAGACCTCTGCTTCTTCTCTGTATTTCCACGGTAGTCTTTAATCATGCAATCGCCTGCTATTTTTTTTTTCCCCCACAAAAAAGGAAAGAAAAAAAACCCTCCCATCCCCATCGACTCCGGTCCGTGTGGCACCACGGTGACCTCTGCGAGGATCACTAGCAGGGCTGCCCACCCCAGCTGCATCCCACAGACCTCTGCCTGCTCGCGCTGGGTGTGTAATTAGCCGGCGTGTTCGGCGTGTGTTTGCCAGTTGGTTTCGTGTATTTGCTGACAGCAGAGGAGCGGTGACTTTTTGCAACGTTAGGTTCGCTTTTAGGTTTGGGGAGCGTTTGCCAACGGGCACGGTTTCCCTTCTCTTCCGTCCTTCCCTGACCTGTCCCATCCACCCAGAGCGGATGGCTGAGGTGAGGCTGATCTCCTCCTCCTCCTCCTCACGATGTCCAGCCAGTAGTTTGTGCTGTCCCTGTCTCCTTTCCTCCCACCTGCCTTTTTCTGCCCCTGTTGCAGTCAAACTTGCCT